GTTGAAAGAAGATTGGACATGGCCTGGCAATCAGTTTGTCAATCATTATGTCCTCGATTCGCTTCTCTTACTCCACGCACCTTGTAGAAAAGCAGCCAGAGAGACCGTCGCTATGATGGTCCAGACGCCACGCTCGCCGAGCGGAACATCGCGCTCCCGACGCAGAGCCTTCTTCTCGTCATCACTCAGCTTGACTGGAAGACCGTGGCTTGCTTCAGGGTCGGAACTGCGCGCGGCAACTTCGTACAGCCGAGGGTCTTTCGCCACGAGCATGCCGCGAATGAGCTGCTTGACGTCGACAAATAGGAACTCTCTGACGAATTTCCGAGCATCCTCTTCGAGCTGCGCGTCACTGAGTTGACCTAGATGCAAAAGTCAGCGCTGAGACATGTGGTGTCTTTCGAGACTAGACGCTGGCAGCCCGCCACTCGGAGCTGAGAGGCCGTTGACCTACCGAGTGGGTTGTCATGGAATGTCTGAGCATAGGATTGTCTTCGCGGCGCGGGGCGACTCGCAGGATGCACATCACTCAACGGCGTTGACATGGCAAAAGAATTCGCAGTTGCCATGTTTTCATGGTGGTATCGAAGCACCGGGATATGCCTGGTCACTAGGGAATAACGAAGACTCAGGGCCGACTAGGTTGAAAGGGCGATCTTCCAACAAGGCAAGGCATTTCTCGGCCTACGGCCCCGGACCAACGGTCAGCATGTTATATATGAATGCGCCCATTCTTTAGGCTCACACCAACTTTCGGTGTACTGTGCCAGCCCGGTCTCAATAGTGGCTGGAAGACTCCTGCAGGTCGGTCACACAGATTCATCTATTGCGGTCGTCGGGCTTTTGTAGCGGAGGGCACAGCGTCTCCCCGAGAAGCATACCACGCACATGCTTCTCCGGACCACGGAAATGGGATGAGCTCGAGAGAGATCAGTCGTCATTCGTATTGAACACGGATGCCGACACTCGTTCATAGTTTAGCTCGGTGGTCGCCTGCAATGCTGACTTCAACGGTGACCAGTGTCAGGGCCAGGCAGGCAATGGTTGAGTTGCATCTCGCCCAGCATTGAACGTCATCGGGGAGAGTGAGGCGAGTTGACAGGATGGTTGCCCAAGGTAGCTGTGAGCCTTGTGGCTTGTCCAAGTCATTTGGGATGAGCTGCGCCTTGTTGGTGAAGGCAATGATGCTTGGGTGGTACTGGTTGAAGGATCACTCTTGCTGATCTTGAGGCTTTACAGTCAGCCACCAGCACACTATTGGCTAGGTGCTGCAGCGATGCCGTTGTGAGTGTGTCACACTTGTGTTGATGCCCCCGAGATCAGCGAATCCTGCACTGCAGCTAGGTCGCGGTGCCCTTCGTTAAACTTCTGGGCAACCTCCCCCGCGTTTGCTGCCGTCGAGCTGCACAGGGCTGTGCCAAGAGGCGGGTGTTGGGCCGTTTTCGCCGGTGATAGGATGACGATCTCAATGCACGTTGACGCTATAGTAGCCTGTCCGCGTACCGTGAGTATGCTGTGTGCCTTGTGTCCAGGCAATCCGGTATCGCCTGGCTGGAGCCTGGAAGTCGCCGTTAAAATAGCGACCAGGGCCTTGATGCTCGCGCCCAGATTGCTCCCCCTGCCTGTGTGAAGGGTTCAGGTGACACCTCCGCCTCTTGAAGGCCATGTGCGTGTAGTTGCGATGCAGCTGACTGATTTCGGCGGCTTGCCACTTTTCTGTCTACCTGACGTTAGCTAGGATTTTCAGATTATTTCCATCCCGTCTGAACTCTCGAGTACCCCGTCACGACGACAACTTGAAGGCTATCCTTGTACTTCGCGTCGTGTTCAAAGTTCACTGCAATAGAGCCATTTTAACATTCGGGGGGAACCCATTCTTGCTGCTTAAATTTACCGTCGTCTTCATCCGAATGGCTGGGCAGATCAACTGTGTCGACAACCATGGATCCAGGAAGCATAGCTGCCCTTGTGGCTGCGGCCATCGAAGTGACCGGCAAGCTGTTCATAGGCATTGGAAAGTTCACAAATGATCAACGAGAGGTTCCGGCTGCAATCAACGACTTCAAAGAGCGGATCCAGACGCTGCAAGCTTCTCTGAAGATGCTCGCTTCGGTGCTTGCCCCTCGAGCACACCATCAGCTGCCTTTCGAGAAGGAGCACCGCCAAAATATTGCGCAAATCCTCAGGTCGTGCAAGACTGCGATCGAACGTCTCAGAATGGAGCTTCCGGAACTCACAGACAGCCCCGGCTTTTTGGGAAGAACAAAAACGACTATAGTTATGACGATCAAGTCGGGGGTGATTCAAGGTCTGCTCTCGCACATCAGCTCCTACGCCCAGGTCTTGCAACTGAGCGTCAGTACTCTGTCACTGTAGGTTGACCAGCTTCTGAACACAGACATACTCCCCTCGCTAATACATTGAAAGAGGATCATTACGCGCACAACAGAAATCACAAGACGAGGTTCAAAAGGAGATCAAAAAGCTTACGCAACAAATCCGATCTGCCGACCTGTTCGCGAACCATGCTTGGACCCGACGCCCAAGCGCAATAAGCTGGGGCGATACGGAGACACGCTTTGACGACACTGAGGCGTTGAAGCAAGAGATCCATGCGTGGAGGATATCTGCAGATGACGTTGCGGCGGCTGCGACCTTGCAGGACTCGAAGAATAATTTATCAGACACTTCGCTGGCCCAACTGATATCGGGAAGGTCGTCCATTCGAACAGCGCCCTCGACGATAGGCGTCGAATCAGACCCGAAATTTGATGACTGGGACCCGCAGCCGCATAGAAGGGGGACCAGCCTGGGCCGCGACATCCTCGAGGTGCAGTACGAAGAAAACCAAAGCATTGTACAACAGTTGGAGGACTGTGGCATCTTTCTCCGGGCGTCGTCGTTTCAGAAGAGAGGTATTGAAATGAGAGAGCAGCTCTGCAGTCCGAACCACGGCGTAGAGTTTCCGTTTAACGATCGAGCCGCTATGAAGGAAAAACTTGCCGACATTCTCCTTTCGTGTGAAACGAGCGCCGAAGATTCAGAGGCCCAGGGTATTCTGCAAGGCGTCCTCGCCGAGGAGGCTGTTCAGCCGGAAGACCAGCAGGACCAAGTCCGACTTGGCCGTTTATACCACAAGCTTGGCAGCCTTTTCCGCCGGCACGGCAACCTGGACCAAGCCGAAGAGTTCCTGAGTCGAGCTCTCGAAGACAGACGAAATTCCGGTACCGTACCTGCTCTTGAAGTCCATCAAACTGCGGAGCTTCTGGTCGATGTTCTGCAAGAGCAAGGCAAGTTTGACGAGGCTCGAGGAATCCGGAAACGACTCCGGCAGATATACCCAGACGAGAACAACGATAGCCCAGTAGAAAGCAATGAGCTGTCGAGAGCATATGCTTGGTGCACCGAACACGGGTTCGATATCGACGCTGAGACTTTCAGCTTCAACGCCTACAGTGAGGAGCTCAACACGACGCCAGTGCACCTGGCTCTCACTGAACGTGATACCGAGATCCTGCCTCTGATGGTAAAGCATGTAGCTCATCTGGACGATGAAAGTCACGAGAACCTAGCCACACCTCTTTTGCTGGCTGCCTCAACGAGGAATCGTCTATCGGTCGAGATACTTCTCCAGTACGGCGCCAACGTCGATCATCGAGACAGTCACGGCATGAGCCCTCTCCATCGATGCCAAACTCGAGAAGGGGGCGTGCAAGTGGCCACTCTTCTCCTTGACAAGTGTCCGGATGTACTGGACATGGTTGACAAGCAGGGTAAAACAGCCCTGTACATGGCCTGCGAGAAGGGAAACAGAGAGATGGTCAAGTTCTTGCTCGGGAGGGGCGCTGATCCCAACATTTGCCAGAGGACACCGGGTACGGAACGAGCCAGCACTGAGAATGTGTGCACGCCGCTCATTGCCGCGATCAAAGACGTGCCAGATTACACGTGCAAAGTTGCCATTGTGGAGGATCTTCTTGTTCATAAGGCGAACCCACAATTGACTGATGCGTACGGTGAAACTGCTTTCGTAGCAGCAAACGGTCTTGGGCTGCCTCGAGACATAATCAAAGATCTGCTGCACAGGTACGCTCCACCTCCCGGGCGGAGATCAAGCAGTTTTTCGGAGTCGACACGGCAGACAGGTTCCTCATGCGGGAGCGACGCAGGGTCGACGAGACGAAGAGGACTGAGGCTAGGCTCTCTGTTGAGCAAGACTAGAAGCCAACAGTCTGACAGGAGTTGAGTAGGATCGACCGTCAAGGACCAGAAACTGCAAGCCGGGAGCAGTACTGAGGAGTAATGATACCATTTTGTACTTGGGAGGTAGAGGTTTTGGCGGATTTGATGGCTGGTGATGCTGGGAGAATGTGTGGGCCACTATGTCTATGTACGGGGGCGACAGCGCGAGTAGCGAGTGGATTAACGGTGCAGCGATTCAATATACCTAGGATAGTCAGTAAACCAGCAAGAGCCCCACCATCTTCGTCATTCGAGCCCAGTGTCCACTGGAGCTTGACCTGGTCAATCAATGACCACGCTCACTCACTCTGTTGAGGCAGGCACGCGCACACAGCCTTACCTCTCTGGGATCCCGAATAAACCCCCTACCTGAGACCCCAAACTTCACTATTCGGGCTGGAACGAGACGACTGAGGTCACTGATCAAATATTGTCGAGCCATATCGACTGGATGGGCCACGAGTGAAGACAGCCTTGAGCGATCAGCTATCAAAACCCCGCGGCACAGCCTTGCCAGGTCCTTCATGAAGAGATTCACACATATCCAGCCACAAAACTTTCCAACATGTCGTCGAAAGCCCAACTGAAGTCCATAGCGGACTTGGTGAAACAGTCCAAATGGGACGACGCAGTACAAAAGGCCACCGACTTTCTAGGGAACGATCCCAAGAATTATCAAGCGTGAGACTACTCTCAGCCTAACAATGCACCTCACCCTAACGCTTGGTCTAGAAACCTGCTTCTTGCGTTTGCTCTGGACAAGAAGAGCAAGTTTGACGAAGCCGAAAAAGCCTACAGAGCAGCGGCGGCTCTCAAACCCCAGGACAGCCAGGCATGGCAGGGTCTCATCAAGCTGTTCGAGAAGCAGGGACCGCAAAAGATCTCGGGTTACAAGCAAGCAGCTCTCAGCCTCGCCGAGATTTGGCGTGACGCCGACGAGATGTACAAGTGTCAAGACGTAATTGACAAGTTCATTGACTACGCACGAGCACACGGCGACCGCACACAATACGTGGACGCCCTAGACCTCATCCTGCCAGACAGTCCCATCTACCCTGCCCTCGAAGGTCGCGTTGCCCACCCTGCCAAGACCTACGACACTATGGCGCAGATCATTGAGACGGATGAAAAGAAACGCATTAACACGCTCATTGGTGAAAGGAGGACAAGAATAGGCGCTCGCGTTGCCGAGGTCACGCTCGAGGTCAAGCGTGAAGTGCTCGGCAGCAGCAAGCTCGCTCACGTATACCAACAGCTCATCATCTGGAGCAGCGATGACGATGTTCGACGAAAGTATGAGGAGAAGCTTCTCCAGTGGTGGCACACTATGCTTCTCGTGTCGCCTCCTGGACCACAAAAAGCAGAGGCGCTGCAAACAGTTCTTCGGCTTTCTCTCGACATGGTCATTATCAAGCACCCATTCCAGCTCGCTTGGGAAATTGCCATCAACTGGAAAGACGGGCCCGAAATACGCGACTGGGACGTCAACATGCTGCGAGACTACTGCACCTTCTTTCCTGAGACGGATCTGTACAAGGTCATCACCGGCTATCTGACGAGCTCAATCTCTCCCTTCCCGAAGCCCGTTCCGACAGACATGGAAGCCAGTGAGACTGAAGATGAGAGCGAAGACGACGATGGAGGCGGCGTGTCAATGGTGCCACTGACCGATGACGACCGGCTTTTCATGATGATTGACGGCATCGCGACTGCAGACTCGATATTTGCCTACCGTCTGATGGGCGAATACTACCAGCACCTCGAAGAACACGAAAGCATTGTCGAGCTTATGCGCAAGGCTCAGAAGCATCTTGCTACCGAGCGCATCAGGACTGGCGTGCCATTCCACCACACGGGCGATGCTTATGCATTGTTCTTGGGAACCGCCCTTGTCTTTTACCAATCTCCTCGCCACCATACGGAAGCCAAGTCTCTATTCGAGGGCGTCCTGGCGCACGACCCATCCTCGACTGCTGCACTGATAGGCATCGGTCTTATCTATGAGGAAGAGGAAGACTACGACGATGCCGTCGACTTCTTGGAGCGGGCTGTGGGCCGGGACCCGAGCAACTTGCGCATCAAGACCGAAGCAGCGTGGGTGAAGGCACTCAAGGGAGACTACGAACTTGCCCGTGCGGAGCTTGAGGCGTCACTGCCCTTGATTGAGAAGAAGGGCCAGACTTCCAAGGAGCTCCTAGCTCTGACGCAGTACCGACTTGGTTCGTGCATTTGGAACCTCGACACGTCCAAAGCGGCGCGCAAGAGTCGGACAGGAGCCTATGCCTACTTCTTGGACGCTCTCAAGAACGACCTCAATTTGGCGCCCGCGTATACCAGCCTCGGTGTCTACTACGCTGAATATGCCAAGGACAAGAAGCGGGCAAGGCGGTGTTTCCAAAAGGCCGTCGAGCTGTCTTCGTCCGAAGTCACCGCCGCTGAGCGTCTTGCGCGTTCCTTCGCCGACGAAGGTGATTGGGATCGCGTTGAACTCGTTGCTCAGCGCGTAGTCGACTCTGGAAAGGTCAAGCCGCCGCCCGGATCTAAGCGAAAGGGCATCAGCTGGCCATTCGCTGCACTCGGTGTCGCGGAACTCAACAAACAGGACTATCACAAGGCCATTGTGTCTTTCCAGTCTGCCCTACGGGTGTCGCCAGAGGACTATCATTCGTGGGTTGGCCTCGGCGAAAGTTACTACTCGTCCGGCCGGTACATTGCCGGCATGAAGGCGACACTGAACGCACAAAAGTTGGAGGAGACGATCTCAGCCGACAAGCTTGGCGACACATGGTTCACCAAGTACATGCTTGCTAACATCAAGCGAGAGCTAGGGGAGTACGATGAGTCTATTGTCCTATACCGTGAGGTTCTTGACGGCAGAGTTGGCGAGGACGGGGTGGCCATTGCGCTCATGCAGACGCTCGTAGAGAATGCGCTCGATGGTGTTGAAAAGGGCTTCTTCGGCAAGTCAGTGGAACTGGCACTGGAGACCATCTCCTTTGCAGCCAAAGCTGATGACAGCGTCGTCAAGACATTCAACTACTGGAAGACCCTGGGAGATGCGTGCTCTGTCTTTTCAGCTGTGCAGAGCCGAGCGGCAGATTTCCCGGGCGAGGCTGTCACGGCAATCATCGAAAAGGGGGCCGAAGATGCCTACGCCCTCTTGGCCGACATCGATCACGTTGATGCCACTGTTGTCTCTGCCAAGGGTCTGTTCTCCGAGGATGAGAGGCTCGGTGTCGACCTGACGAGGTGCATTCATGCGACGATCCTCTGCCACAAGCGAGCTATCCACGAGTCGGCGACCGACATACACGCGCAAGCCGTAGCGTACTACAACCTAGGCTGGGCCGAGCACCGAGCCCACATCTGCCTGCCCTCCAGCATCAGGAAGAAGTCGAGCGTCTATCTCAGGGCTTCGATGCGCTGCTTCAAGCGGGCCATCGAGCTCGAGGCCGGCAACTCGGAATTCTGGAACTCGTTGGGTGTCGTTACGAGCGAGATCAGCCCGGCCGTTGCGCAGCATTCCTTCGTCCGCAGCGTTCACCTTAACGAGAGGAGCCCTGTGGCGTGGGCTAATCTTGGCACTCTGGCCTTGCTGCAGAACGATGTCAGGCTCGCCAACGAAGCATTCACGCGGGCGCAATCCACGGATCCCGACTACGCACACGCGTGGCTGGGCCAGGGCTTCGTCGCTCTGCTGCTCGGGGAGCCAAAGGAAGCTCGCGGCCTGTTCACGCACGCCATGGACATTGCAGAGTCATCGTCTGCTCTGACGCGGCGGCAGTACTCTGTGGCCATATTTGACCACATTCTCACGACGCCTCTCAACTTTACCATCTCGTCGCTCATACAGCCCGTGTTTGCACTGAGCCAGCTGAACAGGCTCAAGCCCCAGGATCTCGCCTATGGGCACTTGTCGAGCCTCTTCAGAGAGCGAACACGGGACAACGCGCCTGCCGTCGCCGTGCTGGAAAAGATCTGCGGCGTACTGGAGACCGACTACGAGCTGACCGAGTCGGCTCAGTCCCTCGCGCGTTTCGCTCTCGCCAGGACGGATCTCGCTCGACTGTACCTGGCCGCCGGCTCCTACGAGCAAGCCATTGAATGCGGCGACCTGGCGATCCAGCTCAGCAGCGACGAGTCGGACAACGAACTCACCATGGACGAGCGCAAGAAGGCGCGGCTCTCAGCCCACCTGACGGTCGGTCTGGCGCAATACTACAGCCAGGACATGGCCGAGTCGCTGCGCTGCTTCGAGGCGGCGCTCAGCGAGTCGGACAACAACCCCGACGCCGTCTGCCTCCTGGCGCAGGTGCTGTGGGCCGCCGGCCGCGAGGACTCGCGCGAGAGGGCGCGCTCGGCGCTGTTCGAAGTCATCGAGGCGCACCCGGACCACGTCCCGGCGGTTCTGCTCCTGGGCGTCATCGCCCTGCTCGACGATGACGAGGAGTCGGTCGAGGCCGTCGTTGCCGAGCTGCAGGGTCTCCGGACCAGCGACAAGGTGCAGCCGTCGGAGCACTCGCAGCTCGGCGCGGTGCTGAGCGCCATTGCCGCGCTCGGCGCCGACGCCGCTGAGGAGGAGGGCGGGGAGGTCCTGACCCAGGCGCAGACGGACATTATGCTGTACCCCCACCTGCCGCACGGATGGTCGAGGCTCGCGGATGCCGGCGGCGACGACTACGCAGCGGATACGGCACTGCAGGTGGCGCTGAAGGCGGTGCCGCCACGGGGGACGCTCGAGGCGGCGGACCTGGCGAGGGCGTACGCCGGTACGGGCAAGGCGGCGGATGCGCAGATTGCCATCCACCTGGCGCCGTGGGCTAGGGAGGGATGGACGGCGTTGCGCGATGCTATTTCGGCTTGACAGGGTGACATGAAAGGGGCCATGCACGGGAACTGGATGTAGACGTGATTATGATGAATCAATGTGGTGCTGCCAGACATGATCTGGATGCACTGGGTATCTGATGCTCGAACTCCTGCGATGCCATGTTGTCGTTGTCGGGAGCAACCCGCCGTACACTCTTGTCGACCGGTCCGACTCTTGGCGACCGCTCCCCAAGCAAACCAGATCACGGCCCCGACCCGGCGTCCGAACACACAGCCTCCCTCAACCTCGTCAACCGCCCCTCGACCCACGGTCGCTGCCAGGCCTCAATCTTGCCGCCGAGCACGACGCAATTGTCGGGCGTCAACAGCAGGGTGCCCCTCGCGACCCTGGTACCGCGGCGAATGAGCATCTTCTCGCCAATGGCCGTGACGCCGACGCCGATCCTCTCGATCCTCGTCAGCTCCATGGCGTAGACGTTCTGGCCACGACAGTCCTGCAGTACGAGCCTGTGCGTGGCATTCGCGGCCGCCGCGGCAGACGCTCTGGTCGAGGGCTGCTGCTGCTGCTGCGGTTGCTGTGTTTGCTGCGTCGTCGCCGTGTCGCCGAGGTCGTCACCGTCGACGACATCGTTGGTCGGCAGGCGGATGATCTCGCGGCCGCGGGTGCCCTCGCCGCGCTCGAGGGCCTCGAGGGCCTCGACCTGCTCCCAGCGGCTGCGCGACAGGTTCTCGACGTCGGCGACCTGGACGTGGACGTCGGCGGCGAGGGTGCGCTCAGGGGTCGTCGGGGCGGCGAGGTCGGGCGGGAAGGCGGCGGCGTGGGCCGGGTCGAGGAGGGCCGGGGTCGTGAGGTCGGCGGCGAGGAGGCGGGCTTTGGCGGTGGCGACGAGGGACGGCAGCGGCGGCGGCGGGTGGCGCGTGCCCAGCAGGGCGGTGAGCCAGGGCGTGGTCGGGGTTGGGTAGTGGGCTGCTTGGAGGGCGAGGCGTAGCTGGAGGGCGAGGTCCATGGTGCGGTGATGAGGTGTTGGAGTCTTGGTGCTACTGGCCGTAAGCTACCCACCCACCTACCTAGGTAGGTACCTGGTAGGCACTTGTCTGTGCCTGGATCGCAGGTTCTTTCTGTGCCTGGATCGCAGGTGCTTTCTGTACCTGGACCAGGTGCTTTCTGTGCCTGGACCAGGTGCTTTCTGTACCTGGACCTCTCTCTGGCAGGGCTGAAAGGGACTTCCAGCCTTGTCCAGCGCCTCGTGCCTAAGGCTCCGGTGCCCCGCGGCAGTGACGGCGTACTGGGAAGGCGCTGTCAAGACCCCGCGTTGCTGACACAGCAGCTTAGTGCTGCCTGCCTTCCCTCCTCACCTTACCTACCTCCTTTGGGACCTCAAAAGGCAAGAGAGCAGGAGATCAAGAGAAGAGGAGAGGAGAGGTGAGGAGAGGAATGAGATCACGAACACGGCTGCCGAAGCTCCCGCCCCGTCAGAGCCTCGAAACCTTCCTCGGCATCTTCTCACCTGACCTCTCCACACAGCCAAAGCCAACAAGCACAAGCCGTCGGACGGAGTCCAGTGAGACAACTCTACACACAACCAATATGCGACATCGGATCGAATCACTAATCCTTCCGACTTTGTTCACGATACAGACCATGACTTTCTCCGCCAAATACTGTGTACTCCTATGACGCTCCACCAAATACTCCCATGACTCTCCGCCAAGGACTGACACGATCGCCTTCTTAGCCCCGTTCCCCATCGTCGTCGGAGCCTTTGTGTCATCATCCGGAAGCTTTGCCGTGTGCATCGACCCAGCCCTCGGTATCATCTGGAACCACTATGACTGATGGCGCTCAGGGTGCTTCCGCCTGGGACGCCAGCACTGCACACTGCGCCGCCCACGTCTCGTTCGGAGAATGAGACGCCATGCAGCCCTCCTGCCGTACCACACACCCTTTCATGCGGGTGACTCCCTGGGTATAAAACTTGGTTGTCCGGATCACGAACCTAATCTTCACTGCAAAAAATAGTGTAGCAAAAAAGATCGCCCTCTATATCACCACACAATCACCCGGCATAACCATACAACAACCATGGCACCCCTCGTTTTCGTCGTCGGCGGCACCGGTGCCCAGGGCATCCCCGTCATCCGTGGCCTCGTCCAGGACGGCGCCTACCGCGTGCGTGCCCTCACGCGGGACCTCAACTCGCCGCGCGCCAAGCAGCTGCTGGCGCTCGGCAACGTCGAGCTCCAGGAGGGCTCCTTTGCCAGCGAGACGGACCTGCGCGCCGGCTTTCGCGGCGCCCAGGCCGCCTTTGTCAACATTGACGGCTTCAACGCGGGCGAGAAGACGGAGATGTTCTGGGCCATGCGGTCGTACGAGGTCGCCCTCGAGGCCGGGCTTGGCTTCTTCGTCTACGGCAACCTCGACTACGTCTATAAGAAGAGCGGCTACGACGCCCGCTTCCGCACCGGCCACTACGACGGCAAGGGCCGCATCGGCGAGTGGATCCGCCTGCAGAACGCCGACAATGCCGGCCGCATGAAGGCCGCCATCTTCACGACGGGCCCCTACATGGCCATGGCCATGGCCGCCTACACGCCCATGTCGCCGCGCATCGAGGACGGCGTCGTCACCTGGCGCGTGCCCCTCGGCGACGGTGCCGTCGCCCACGTCGACCTCGACGACTGCGCGCACTACGTCCGCTGGCTCTTCGACCACCAGGACCGCGCCAGCGGCCTCGACCTCGAGGTCGCCATCGACCTCATCCCCTACGCCGACCTCGCGCGCGCCTTTGAGACGGTCACCGGCCACCCGGCGCGCTACATCGACACGTCGCTCGACGACTACTGGTCCGCCAGCGCCATGGGCGACGGCTCCCGCGCGTCGGCCTACAACTCGGACCTCAGCGATCCCGCCGCCATGACGCAGCGCCAGAATTTTACCGGCTTCTGGACCATGTGGAAGCACTCGGGCGGCAACAAGGGCGTCGTGCGCCGCGACTTGGCGCTCCTCGACGAGATCCACCCCGGCCGCGTCAAGACGGCCGAGGAATTCTTTCGGCGCGAGGACGCCCGGGGGCGCGCCGCGGGCCTCGGGACTCTCTGGTAACGGGTCAATAACCTGCGGCCTGTGCTGAAGCTTGCTGAGGACGGCATGAGGGGGCGGATCTGAGGGGGGGCGGGGGGTGCATAGGGGGTTCTGGGCGGTCCTGAGGGTTGCCGAGCGGCATGTCGGCGCATTAGGTACACGAGGTTGGGAGGCCAGATTGCATTTAATTTACACAGCATGTTGAGCGAATATATATGACATATACATGGCA